TGACGTTGAGATGGGGCAAGCGCTGGAAAGTGACGAGGCACCGTTATCAGCAAATTAGCAGTATCCAGTCTAGCGATGACAGCAAGATCATCACGAAGTAGCATTCTCCTGAAGCAGGGGCGATGCACATAAGCCAAATGCAGATGTATCTAATCCGTGTAGTCCTTCACAAGACCTTATGTTCACCACGAAGTTCTGAAAGACAGGATCTCTTTCTAACAACAGTAGTGGCCTGGCATTTTGAGGAGACACAGCAAGCAAACACCCATTAAATGAACAAGTGCGCTGACATTGATAACCACCGATAACAAAAGTCCGAAATGATCACAAAATGAGCGATCGCATCTGCAAGGGGACACCGTCGCACGGGCGGGCTGGTGACTTGGTATGTATAACCTTACGTATCCGCTTAGAGGCTTTATAGTGGTGTAACATCAGCTGGTAACGCTTTTATCGTATACCACAGTTAGAGTATCCAGCAAAACGATTACGCCGATATAGGATACCCAGGAATTTCAAATCACGAGGCTTTTAAAGTCTGACATTCCCACTCAGTGGGAGAATTTCATACTACATTGGTGCACCGTCAAAATGTAGAGCGCAGGGTAGTTCAGCACCAATATCAAGATGTTTTTGAAGTGCAACGAATTTTCTGACAGAGGCGCAAGACGATTATGTCAATATGTTGTAAATCATCGTGGGTCTATAATGATAGACACCCAATCGTACCAACGCACATCAGTGATCGTTTTCTTGCTCTATCTATAAAAAGCAACTAAGTATGGTGGAAGGTGGCAAGCGTAATTTAAATACTGGCAGATAGATGTAGGTCAATCCTTCATCAGTTCAGGACCAAATAGCCCGTTGAAGATATTTTATCGATGCCTTGAAGTTGACTTGGGTACCTTTTTCTCAATTTTCCGATACTTTCTCGATATTTAGATTCAGCGGTTCTTACAGTGTAGTCGGTATCGTCTCAGTAAGGTCTAGTAAGAAAGCTAGCTCGGGTGCGTAATCCATTAGACTCGAATCTTCGTCCATATGCTCGGAGAATCTGGTATTCCACGTACCGCAATGCTTAGTTCTTGTGCTTTCAGCTGAAACGATGTTATATACAGGCACATGAAGTGGAGGTCACGGTTATCCATGTTCAGCTCATCCTCGACAGCACTTCCTCTTGAACTTGATGTGGTCCATCCTGTCTGGCGTCTATGTATAATGATCCGTCTCTCGCGTGTTCGTCCGGTACTTTAATTGCTCGACATCTTTCGATTCTTTTGCAGTTTCTGGATCGAATGTCGACTTTGTTCGACCCGGGTTGTAACGGGGTGAACCTGATACATAATATTATCATTACAAGGTTTGAAAATAAGGAATATTCCATTCAATGTTCTTGGTAGAATATCGCAACGCGATGTGATGCTTCTTTCAGTGACCCAAGGGTATACGCATTAGTTGATACGCGAAATGGTACCAACACACCAATCGCTGCTTGACGCGCGCAATGGGTGAGAATGGACGTAACAATACATGTTCGTGTATTTATATCATTGGGTTAGGACTAATTGACAGAGAACATGTTCCAAAACTTAGTCATGCTCAACACAGTTTTACGTTTACCACTACTAATTGCATCGTCGAAGTAGGTGAGCCTTCCTCTGAACAGTGTTTTTGAGGCGGGCAACCTTTGGTGTCACTACGAGTTTGCCCGTACTGTTTACCAGTACGTGACTGCCGGTGCCCAGTTACACGGGTAGTCCCAGCGTTGCACTTCGTTCCTATCTGGGTGGTAATCTTGCAGTGGGTCACCGGGATGCTACTCGGGTGTGTTGCTCGTGCCGTCGCATTGTATGATGATTGGGGGTTCGATGAATCTCGCATCCGCGAAGGCTCGCTTGCTGGCTCATTCCCTTCTAGTGTAAATTTACCCAGCTCGACCTTCAGCAAACCCTTTGCTGCATCCGGCTTGTCGACTACTCGCCGATTGCTGTTGCTCCATTCTTTTTACTCGTAGGTTCGTCACACACCTCGCTGGATAGTCTGGTATGTGTCGCATCTCTGTGTGTTGACCTCTACGCAGAACATCTCGCGGTACCGTGTAAGATGGGCGCTCCTCCTGCGAGTAGCTGACGACTTGACCACTCTCCGTGTAAGTCCTGTTCATTATTGAACAATCTCATGTCCATCGCTCCTCCGAACTCTAGCAATTTCCAGTCTTGGTATATTGACGCATTGAGGCGGTTGTATCCATCCTCTCGCGACAAGCTTTTGTGCAATACCCATAGCACGACTGGAAGATGGACTGGCCACGAGATACCCTTCGAGGAAACACTCGTCGGACTTACCATTGACCCGTGGAGACCATTCGTAAGCCTTTCCATTGATGCTTGTCCAATACGGTCAAAATAAAAGCGTGGGTGACAACGATGATGTTCGTGGTGCCCACAGCTCGTGTGTCGACTCTGCTGATTGTTCTCGTTATAGTTTGCATTCCACGAACAGTTGTCTCTTGATTTGTAGCGTGTCGCTTGGTCGTCCGATGACTTTTTGCTCTTGTGTTTGTGTCAAACCCCTCGACGCCTTAGTAGCGGCACAGCAATTTCGTCTAGAAGCTTGGCCGTCGCATTATATAGGTTTAACCGAATGCCTGCCGGTACGCCTGCATGAATATGCTCAATCCTGTCCTCGTTGCAGTGTGTACAACATTGAACTGTAACGAGTGGCTCGTCACCCATTGCGGGCGTGCATCATTTAGTAAACGCTTTGTTGGTTGATATGCAGGCCGCTATGAATCAATCCGCAAAAGTCACTGGACATTACGTTCGTGACCATTATCCGCCGTGACACTATTCAAGAATGTTACTAGCAGAGATACTATGGGCACTGGCATTTTGCGAGCAACAATGTCGTGTACGGGCTCACCGCGTTACAACAAGTCCATAACGAGTCGAGAAGCGACGCGGCCAACGCATACAGGTCGTGGCCTGGCTAATGCGCCAGAACGGTCACAGCGCTTTTAGGTGCATAACTCATGGTCGAAGGATACTGTGCAATCTGTGAGAGACGCCGCTAAGTCGGTGACATAGCTCGCGACGGTTTGTTTTGCAGCTGGTTGTTATCAAACCAGAGTGCGGATAGCAAACAGAGCGGCTGTCGCGTAATGAATGCCGTGCGGACGAACTTGTGGGGAAGAGCGCAGGAAGCCACAATGACTGTCGTCGCCGTCATAGCGTCAATGGTAAAAGTAGCGCGAGCGTCTTTCGTGAGCTATTGAAATGGCTTCCGCAGAGGTTTTCCCGCCCCTCGCGCGTCGTCGCGACAGGAGAGGACGAGTGAGTCTCTTGTCACACCCACATCGAATTCCATGCACTTGTGAGGCCGACCGCGTCGATTCATCTCGTGTTTTGCTAGTACCCATTTGCCTTGGAGCAGTCGGCAAGTCAGTTCAACCGCAAGTGATCTGCTGGGAAACTGCGTCGTTAGTTGTTGCGTCGCGTGCAACACTGTCCATCACTCCGCGCCACATGTTGACCGGCCACGCACGTAAACATGCGGAAGAAGGCAGTGTGTTTGGTGCAGCGCAACACAGCTGTCCTGCCTCGCTAGAGACTCCAGTCCGCAATGAGTCTGCTAGCGCTTTGCCATCGCCGTGGAGCAGCGTAGAGTTGCTACGGCTCTTTTGCATACTGTAACCTGCTGCGCCCGTCGAAACGTGGTCAATGTCGACACCTGCTGGCGCGCCTCTAAGTGATTTTTTGCCGTACATCGTCCCGCGCTCGTCGACGCCACGATGAACTCTTGTGGTAAAGAGAGAGACGTGAGCGATCATCATCTATGACCAGCAGAATACGGGTGACGTCTCCCCGTGGCGTTGACGTGGCAGCCGTCAGCCTACCGCCAAAAAGTCGGGATCCTTCATGAAACTACCCGAACGACGACCTCTTCTTGAACGACTGTTCGAGATCGCCACACGACTCGGCGACTATTGTCGACATGTGAGACAATCGATCGCGAAAGCTATGCGACGACCGCTGGCCGAGCGGGTCCCGCCCCCCTCCCTCCATGAACGTCTCCTCATCAGTACCTACTACGCCCTTCGGAAGCATAAGCCCCATCGCCACTGTCGCAGGGGCGACGCAAGCACGAAAGGGAGTGCCGTGCGCTGCTGCCGACGAGTCGTCTGCCCAAGCGGCCAGCGCGAGACGGTCTAAGTCCAAGAAACAATAGAGCGCCCGTGCCGACATTACTGCGCTGACATGTCCTTGTTCTTGTCAAAGGTCTTCTCGCCTGCCTCGCTACGGACCGACTCGTGATGGGCGCACCAGCCCTTCAGCCGATAAATCGTTCGCTTGTTCGGCTCGTTGCGTCCCACGCACTGAGTTTGATTGACGGCCGGACGTTCCGGCGCTGGCGTTTACCGCCGACGGCGCTCTCGACGTGCGATGAGGCTGAGCCACCGACCAACCGGTCAACTGACGAGATCTCCCGTTGTGTCTTCGGTCGCTCGCGTGTGTGTATGAGTGTATGTGTGTGTGTGTGTCGTTGTACGGAAAAAAGAGGCGACGATCGCGAGACGCCGTCGCCTCGCGGCGGTAGACGCGTCGTCGACCGACCGATGACGGGGACTCGCGGCCGCACGAGGCACTGCACGTTATGTCGCTTGCCTTCAGTCGTCCACCGTATGTCCGTTCGTCCTTCGCCTCACCATCGGCTCAGCTGTCGATTCCATTCCTTTCTCTCCTTCCCCTCGCGGGTCGCACAAACCAAAACGGCATTCCCCAACTCACGGCCAACGCACATCGCCTTAGCTACTGCCTTACCACGTACACGTACGCGCACACTCCCTACTTCGCCCCCCCACTTGCGTTTGGCCAACCCGACTGTTCAGTCAGCCGGTCGTTCCTCGATTCAGTACTTACTTGACAGCCCTTCGTCCTTCACGAATGCCCCGCGACCGGTCTCTCGCCTCCTTCCGCTTCGGCGCTATCGCTGCTGCAGCGATGGCGCTCTTCGCGTCCACCCACGGGCGCAAGTTACCTGTCACGCTCGACGTCTTGTCCTACAATGACGTGTACGAAATGGGGCAGGACACAGTCGGTACGGTGCACCTCGGCGGTCCATCTCGAGTCGTCCCGATCGCTACGGCCATGCGGAAAGCCAACGCCAATAGCCTCGTGCTCTTTGCAGGCGACACCGTCTCGCCGTCGCTCTGGTCGACGCAATTCAACGGCCAGCACATGGTGCAGGCCCACAACGCCCTTGGCCTCGACTTTGCAGCACTGGGGAACCACGAGTTTGACTTTGGCCTCGAGAACTTTGTCAACGTGACGCGGGCGTCCAAGTTTTCGTGGCTGAACGCTAACTGCTACGAACGGGCGACGGGCGCGTTGCTCCGGGGTACGGTGCCGTATGCCATCAAGAGGCTAGCGGGCGCGAAGAACGGAGCCTTGGTCGTTGGTGTCTTTGGTGTCATGTACGACATGCAGGACACGAGCAAGGGGTTGTACTGGGAAGACCCGATCGAAGCTGCTCGAAAGCAGGTCAAGGCGTTGCAAGCGCTCGGCGTGGACGTGGTCATTGCCCTGACGCATCAAGGCTTTGCGGCCGACAATCGGTTTGCGGCCGAGGTGCAGGGCGTGGACTTGATCGTGGGCGGCCACGACCACACGTCCATGCTGGAGACCAAGTTTGGCACGCCGTATGTCAAGGCGGACTTTGACTTTCGCTCGATCTGGAAGACGCACATTGAGTACGAGGCGGCGCGCGCAGGGGCGGGCCGCAAGACCGTGATCACGCACGAGCGGATTCCGATCGTCGAGAGCCTGCCAACGGACAAGGCGCTGGACCAGGTGATTGCCTCGTACCGGGCGCAGATGGAAGCGCTGGAGAAGCGCGTGATTGGGAGCGTCTGCGAAGACCTGGACTTGACCCAGAAGGTCGTCCGCGCACGCGACAGCACGATTGGATTCCTCTTTGCGGACGCAGGGCGACAGTTTTACGGCAACGGCTCAGCTGACGTGGCCGTGATGAACGGTGGCGGCATTCGGGGCGACAAGATCGTTCCGGCGGGGAACCTGTCGCTCGGTGAGGTCTTGTCGTGGTCGCCTTTTGGCAACACGTTGATGACCGTCCAGACGAACGGTGCGTCGCTAAAGCAGTTTCTGACCCGCGAGATGGGCACCAGCTGCGGCGCGGGTCGTGCGATTCAAGAGAACGGCTTCTACGTGCACCCGTCAGGCTTCCAGTACACCTTCACGTGCACGGGCGAAGGGGTTGGCACCGTGTCGAGCTTGACGTGGCTCAACCACCCGACCAAGCGCGGTGTGATTCAGGACTCGGACGCGCTTGTCATGGCGATCAGCAACTTCCTGTACACGTCCGAGTTCATTGTTCTCCAAGGCGTGCAAGCTACCGTTCGGATCAGTGAGGCAGAGGCCGAGCGCGTGGACTCGGCCCTGGAGACGTACGTTACGAAATGGAGCAATGGCAACGTGTGTCTGCGACTGAGCGAGCAGCGCTCTTCCGTCTCCTTTTGAGCTCAAGAACACCGAGGAAACAAAGGAGTACTAGTAAGCCACAGCTTTGACACAAGTTTTGCGATGCATCTAAAGCGTGTCGAAGGCGGGCAAAGTCAAGTGAGAAGTCGAAAGGGTGAGACGGGTCACCGAGTTGGTCTCGCTCGCTCGGCAGTTCTTTGACGAGGCGTCAGCTTCACGAGGTTGCGACTACTGAACGACCGTAGCGAGACGCTCTCTCTGTCGCTCACTAGGAGACATTTGGGACCCACGGAGCCCATTGCAAGAATCGTTTCTCACATGTGTCTTCTTTCGTTGAATGTATCTGCAGAAGCCGTCCCGTGGACTCCACGTGTTGGCGACTTCCTTTCTATTGCTATATCGTTGCACGGCATGTCGCTGGTCGTGCGTCGTCGTACTTGCGAAGCACGACGAACCAGCCGCGTGCATACGTACGACACGTAACATAACCCGTTGTGTAGAAGTGTGGGATCAAAGTGGTGGGGGGGAACGCCACACTGTGTGCACAAATGGGTCTTTGTCGTCAACTCGGGACATAACAACAACACTGCAATGCTAGGACCGGGCTTTCGCGCTTCCAGCAATGGAAAACCGGTATCTACCGCGAGTTAGCTCCTACGTACACTATCTCAGTACCCAAAATTGGCCAACGGCCGCCAATAGCAGCCGTCCACGAAGTTTGCCAAGCATTGATTGGCATGAACGGAGATCGGTCCTAGCTCCAATACCATGCAGATTCCGACACTTTTTTTATCCGACAACTATTCCGACAAATACATAATGTCTTTTTAATACGGACGGTTTATAATTAGATGAGCTATTGGGGGAGCTCTTCAATTGGACGCTGCATGCTTATTCACTGTATTTGGTTTTGGCCTGCGTTGACACCCCTAACAGGCCGTGCGCCAAGAACACGTGAGGCTCAATCCTCGCTGAACGGCGCTACAGAAAGAGATGTGGTACTGTACAAGACACAGCTCTTCCTGTAGTATCGATTGGCGGCTGGGACAACGAGGGGCGGCTAAAGGGTAAGTCAAACGGTCTGATGCTTTATTTCTTACGTACACGACTAATTATCAGGTATGGTACGTCTGGGGCAATTCATTCCGTAGGTCCATTACAGCTCGCGTCAATATCGTTACGTCTGTTGATTGACACTCAGCGACGAAGAGAACCCAAGCGGCCGTAAGTGAATGAAGAGATAGTGTTTACAAGTGTTGGTACGTGCAGTCTGACGTTATTGTTGCTGTTCTGTTCCCTATGCCATGTGCAGTCCAGTGTTATTCTTGCTACCTGTTTTTCTATCTTGTGTGCTGTCTGATGTTTTTCTTGCCGACGTTGTTGTTGCTCTTGACGCTGATGCTAAAACCGCTGTTGCTGATGCTGCTGTTGTTGTTAATGCTGTAGCTTTTGATGCTGTTAATACTGTCAATGCTGTTATTGCTGATGCTATCTTTGCTGTTGTTGCTGTTGATACTGTAGCTCTTGATGCTGTTCCTGCTGTTGATGCTGTTGTTGCATTGTTGTTGTTGATTTTTGTTTTTGCCGTAATTTTTGTTGAAGCTGATGCAGAAGCTGGTGCAGAAGCTGATGCTGATACAGTTGACACTATTGCCTTTTGTAACTTTCGCTCTTGTGCGATCGGTGACTATACATGAAGAGATTGAAGAGCGCCAGTTTGAAAAAACAATGTCTCATAAATAAATGTCTGCCGCTCATCTTTTGCGTATAGAAGCATACTCAATAGACAAAATGCTGACGTTGCTATTTGATGCACTTAACATATTCAGCAGACTGCTTATCCGAACTAGATCGATAAATTGTAATGGAAGGTACTTTCGATGTCTTCTACTATGTGCGATACGTAGTATGATTTGATGGAGATAGGTCCGAAATAGCTCTAGTTGCAAGCAACGCCATGTACGCCACAATTCTCTTGTTAATAGCTTTTTCATTGAGGTTTCTGCACGTGCTCAACGTTGTTGGCGCTAACCGACATATCTTACTCACGGACAAGCGACATTTCAGACGCCCGACTGAAGGCGTGCCACATTCGGCACACAAGTGCAGCGTCCTGGCAGTCCGTTGAAATCGTGGCAGTCATGTCTGTGTGTTACATAAGAAATAGAATCCCACCTTTTGTATATGATGCAGCTTTCTTTATGGATCCTCTCACTATTGTCATGCATGACCACTCCAGAGTGCGCGCCATCTCGACAGTATGTCGTACACGATTGATCTTTGTGAAGCAAATCATTGTAGCAGCCACCTCGTGACTTGTCTGCAATAGGACATCACAGAGTTCTTCGCCAAAAAATCTCCATTGCTGCCCCTGATATAGGCGAGGTGCATGGCGAACTTCTCCATCACAGCGACGAAGCAGGCACCAGGCGGGTCACTGAGGATGGATGTGATTAGCTGGTCGACTGTGACGGACTCTGACGCGAGGAATTTCTTGAAGTTGCCCACTGCCGTAGACATGGCTGACTTGGTGTTGGCTGGCACCAACAACTGGTTGCTCATGTTCTTGTGCTGTCTAGTTGTCGAAGTGTACTAGCGTATATAAGTGTTGAAGTTCAGTTCGATGTGGCTAATGACTTTACCTTTGTATACTGCGTAGACCTACTTCAACATAAACCTCAGTGATTATGTTATCGTGGAGATTACTTTGCAGTAGCGTATGGGTACAATATTATTAAATTAAGTTAAACAGGTAAATAATTACGAAGGTGTCAACTTTGTCGAAATCTTTTACAATATGCAACATAGTGTGCCTTATTGACTAGGCATTTGGATGGAGATCAAACACATTTTTAACTTCAAATCGACAATATACGTCAAAAGGATGTCGGAATGAATTTGACCTACCCCTAATACGTTCGATTTGCTGAGACTGCTATACGAAGGATCGTGGATTGGCTATAATCAAATGACAATCTTCTATTGGTCCACCATCGCATACTGAGAGCAAATGGGTTTTTGTTTGTCAGAGTTGTGATCATATTCATCAATACAGTGTATCCACAATGCGTTTGCGTGCGCAGTGTGTCCGCGTAAACAAACTCAAATGCCGTGTATACTTTGTGCGTCGAACAGGAGGTACGCGATTCTGATTCCCGCACAACACGGTCGCCTGCATTGAGCGTTGTCCTACACATTGCGTGGCCCTACTCTTGCACAGTCGTGCTACTGTAGCTGTATGCGCACAGCACACCCCTTTGCCAACTTATCGCTTCTCCGCGGCACTAGCGTCAAAGTTCTTCGGTAGGATACCGTCGCTGATACCACGCATCACAATGTCTTGAAAAAGCGCAGCAGCATTGGGAATGTCCAGCGCAACGTCATCCAGTACGAGTTTGAAGCGCTCAAAGCCTTTCAGTAGCTGCCCCGTTGACACCACCTCATGGGACACCAAATAGGTCAATAGCGACGCCATCGCCGCACTGCTGGTCTCACCCCCTTCTTCGAGAGCGTTCATAATGCCGCGTTTGACTACTTCATGGTGAAAGTGCGGCACGTTCAGCTCACGCACACAGCGCGCAGCTTCATCGAGGTCGCTCGAGAGCAAATACTCCTTGGTGAGCTGGTCAATTGCCACTTTCAGCTCTTCCACCGGACGGCCGTCGCCAGGTCCCCACGCCTTTTCCATCCGCGCAGTTGCGTGGTTAATGCTCAACTTCTTGATAGCTTCAGCAGCGACCTCAGGCGCGTATCGCGTAATGAAAGGGTCCTCCAAGAAACTCGGCGGTAAGATCTCGTCCACTACTGCACGTGCACAAAAAATCGCCAGCATATTCTTGGCCGACGGAATATCCAGCTGCAAATCGCCAGCTAACAGCAAGACCCGACGGAACCCCATGAGCACTTGTCCCGCTGTGATTCCGTCCAGATACAACGTCGACACGAGTCGCGACGCCAGCTCGCGCTCCTTGTCGTGCTTGTCCATTGCCATTGTGATGGCGCGTTTCACGACTTCGTACTGGAATTCAGGCTCATTGAGCTCCTGGAGCGAACTCAGGACCTCGTCCGCGTCGCCATTGGTAAAGTACTCCTCCAAGATCTCAATCACGCGCTTCTTCACGTCCGGAGGCGCATTGATTGCCAGCTCTTTGGCTGCCAACGCGTCTGGCTCGAGCGTCGGCGTCGACTTTGAGGGCGAGTCCACGACCGTCGACACGAGCACGACGTTCTCTTCGGCTTCGCTGTCGTAATTGGGGTCGTTCGCGTCCAATGGCACGGCAGGAGGGACTTCCGTGACCTTCCAGGACGCCTTTTGGCCGCCACCCATGCGTTTGCCAGCATCCCGTGACTTGCTCCGTTCTCGACGCGGTGCTGGCGTCTTGTCCGTGCCGATGGAACCACTGCTGGAGCTTGAGTGGACCAACGTTGGGTGCACGAGGACTTTGTTCTCCGGGCCAGGGGCAGTCGCTGGGGCGGAATACAGCCAAACATCACAACACGAGAAAGGAATTAGATACAGAGATCGACGAAGAGAAAGATCGATATTCAGATAAATAGGAGAGGAAATAGATAAATAGATAAATAGATAGATAGATAGATAGGTAGATAGATAGATTGCTAGAGAGAGAGGAGAGAGAGAGAGAGAGAGAGGGGAAGTTTCTGTGTGCGGCACCTTCGGGAGTGGCGGACATGGTGGCGAGTGGAAAGGAACTCGGAGACAGAGGGGGTGAGAGAACGTGTCGGAGCTGACGAGAGACGACGACTTGAGAGTCGTTCTTCTGTGCAGCTTTTCGGGTCGAGCGATTTGGATATGAGACAAAAAAGAGCTGCGACTATTTCTGGAACGATCGGTCGGCCGCGAGAGGGCAACAACGATCGGAATAGAAGGGGAAGACACAATTGCGGACGGACGATTTATTTCAGCTGTGTTTGTCAACATGAAAAGCTGGTATGCTGCATGTAAATGACGGTATGCTTGTTGCTTGCAAAGGGGTCATGCGGTCATAGTGCGATGATCGAGTTGGCATTCCAATACGACTCACAAAAGTAAACTCTATTGAATAAAGAGACGCAATCGCCGACTCAAGACCATCCAATTACGATTGTGCCGAATACAGTCGACGCAGACATTGTGCTTCGTGATTCCTGACATCATGACTTTTGCACACAAGTCTTTCTGCAGCACTTGACTACTCCGCTCTGCAGCAGGTGCTGTGATCACGCATCGACAGCGGCTCGCATCGGCGACTTGAGAACGAGTGTTTCGGGTCTAGAGCATATTCAGTGCCCTTTTCACGGCACACTTTTTGCTGTCCCATTCTAAATCAGAGAAATTCAAAATAAAGCGTTTACGTACGACTATCGTTCAAGGGCTACGTCGGTGCTTCGACGAGCCATGGTGTCTCCGATCCCGCAAATTGCTGTTTGTACATACCATGCCATGTCGTAAGGCAAGCAGAGCCGGATCACGATGCGTAGAAAGACGAGCGGTCGACTTCAGGAAGTGCCTCAATGCAACCGTGGCAGGTCGTAGCGGTCGGATCGTTTGCGGTGAGACACCTACATGTGCGCAATCGCAAAAAGCAGTCAGCAAAGCCGATGACACTGAGGCGGCGCAATCAAAGCACACGGTGACGTACAGCGAGCACAACCAGGACCGAGCCTCGATCTTCGTGTTGCTCGGGCCGTATACACGATTCCGTCCACACTTGTCGCACTTGGCATTCCACACACTCACGTTTGCGCGGCACTGAGTTCCGGTGCACTTCCACATATCTCGTGCCACTTGGAACTGCAGCATCAATATGCGCTGGGTGTGAACATCCATCTGTCGCACTCGTATCATCGAGTTCTTCACGTTTTTAGCTGCGTCAAAGCGAAGCAAGTACGCATGTCAGCGCATCATCGCGATACTTCCAAAAAACACCAACGTACAGTTAAGCTCCTCCACTGCCGCTTTTGCTCCCCCCTCCGTTGTGAAAGTCACCCGTGCATCACCGCGCCCGAGATAATTGCGCTGGCACGCAAACACCTCGATTGCTGGAAATCCAGTCTCTCGATCAACCTGTACTCACAAACAGCCGTATCGAGACGTAAGTTCGCTGACAAATTACATCAAGTAGCACGCAATACATACCCCGACGCCAAAACGTGCAAAGTCTTCCTCGATTTGTGCTGCGCATACGGTAGGATTCAACCCTGACACATACACCTGTCTCATCAACAACGCTTCATCCACCGATACACTTTCCAGGTCAACGCGGATGTCTTCAACATTCTTAGCCAACGCTCTCCCGTCATCATCCGAGTCCGTGATGTATCCATCGTCGTCGCTATCAAAGGTAGCCAACACGCCCGGTGAAGAAGGTGCTTCGATAACATCAGGGATCTCCCGCTTCTTGGCAAATGTATCAGTGCCACCAATGTCATCGTATTGGCTGACTTTCCCCGATAGTGGTCCTTTACTCACACTCTCCGTTTTCCAGGAACCACGGCTATCTACAGACGTCGATCGTCGCCTGCCATCAGCTTCCCGGTGATGGTCGCGGTTGGTCTTCATCGTTTGCTTCAGACGGCGATAGTCTCGCTTGCTCGACCTCTCCCACGACCTTGAGCGCGAACGATGGCGACTGTGATTGCTGCTGTCCTCCCGTATCCGAGGACTAAGGGAACGAGACCTGGACCGAGGCGAACCTCTACGCTGGCGATCGTCGCGTGATCGTCGACCGTCTCGAGCGAAGCAACTTCGATCCCTAGATGACGACACTGGCTGTCGTTTTTTTCTGTTGCGACTGTCGCGTTCCCGGCCAGGACGTCCATGCGAGATAAGGTCATGCTTATCCGATGTCGCTGGCTGAGAGCCTTGTGGTCCGTAGTGATTAGATATCGAGTTTCTGCTGTATGGAGCAGATTTCTTCTTGCGACGGTCGTCATGCCGCGCACCCTTACTCAAAACATGGTCACTCTTGCTCAATGACTGCGGTGCCGCAACTTGTATCAACTCTTCCGCTTTCTGGGTTTGCCTCCTCTTTTTTGGAATCGGAAGTTTGTCCCAGTCTGCATCCCGCACTCGGCTCTTGACCACACAAACGCCCTTACGCACTGCTTCCTCTTGCATTTTCTTGAATCGACTGGGACGTTTGTAACCGCTTCCTTCGCGCGCACCACTGGCAGCATCTTGCCCGTCTATGTGCAGCGCATCGTATATACTTATTTGAGGCTCCCGCTTGTATTTACCATTGGAAGCGCTGTTGTCAACCACTTGCGGGTGCTTTTTTATTGATGTCGGCAAAGGGGACTGTGCTGCCGAAGTAGTACTAGAGCTTAGCTCCCCACCGTAACGGGACTTTGACACAAACCGGGGCGCCTTCGCTGCATTGCTGGGAAGCTCATCGCTCTTTTTTTGCCTCCCTGCATACGACAGATACCTAGCCTGTGATTCGTCTGCGCTTGTTTTCAGCATCTCTTTCGTCAGGAAAGCCAAAGGTACGTCATCGCTGTCCTGATTACTGCCAACCCTGCAATCATTTGTCGGTACCTCTGTGTACTGGCGAGGTGGCTTTCGCTTGCCTTCCGGTAAATTCTTCAGCATTTTAGTACAGCGCCTTACCTGCAAATACTTGCCTCTTCTTATCGCCGTCATCGCACGTGGCGTTTTACTCGGACGGAGCCCATTGGAACCAATCGACGGATTCGATGACATCGCTAAGCCATTCTTAGGTTTGGCTAGAAGATTATCGATTTCATTGCCTTTCGACTGCACGTGAGTCACATCGTGATCATGGACTGGCAACGGTTTTAAAGCAGTCGTGGTCGCTCGCGTCACTTTTACCGGCACATAATCAAAGAATTGATGTACTCCGTCAATTGACGCACTCTCCTTCTGACCATTCGGCGCTCGTTGGTTCGAGCTAGTGCTGCCATGCTTCCCATCAGTCGCTTTTCCCTCCAATGTCAGCCCGTCTCGCTCGTTGCCTGAACAATCCACCTGAGCACATGTCACTCGATCAGGCTTGTTCACAAAATTGTCGATACCAAAGTCGCTGCCATCACTGTCATCAAGTCCCAGATCGTTCGTGTCCGGCGTATCGTCTTCCAATATTTCTGTTTCAGCCTCCGAGAGGTCTTCGTCGCTTGCTTCTGGCCTCTGCTGTGCATCGCCTGTAGAACCGTTGTCGACCCACGTCGGACCATCAACAACCTTTTCTAGCGCGACACTCCCCTGTTCTTCCCCAACATCGCTACCGAACACTACATCAGGTGTGGCGACAGACACTGTTCTGTGAGCGACTACCTCATCTTGAACCGGCGAGCATTTGCCCTTCACATCCACCATCTCCGTATCGGACACATGAGCATCGGCAGCGTCAGTGGCGTCATTATCGTTGGCTGCGAGGCTGCACGGTGCGTCATGTGGTCCATGATCTACACTTTTGGGGGCCAACGGTACCGGACTTGATCCAACCAGCGCATTGCTATCCGTGTGTGTGGCACCATTCGATTTTGTCGCTGGTCTGAGCGATACTGTTTCTGAAACTCGTGCTTCCTTCTCATTATCATCGTTTTCTTCAATCTGCCCTAGCAAACTTGTGGCATCATCAGGAACCTCCAATCGCACGACGGACTCCGTCGTTTCTCCACATTTTGCTGTACTGCAACAAGTACCACTGGTACTAGCGTTGTCCATTAACCTGTGCTGTCCTCCTTCCAATGAGCCATCTTTTCCATTTGCCTCGAATTTATCCTTGCAAGACAGAAGCTTGCTCGGCACACATGTCATGCTTCCTAAGTCTCCTTCTGCTGGCGATCTTTCTGCAGCAGCTAAAGTGCGTCTAGTCTCGCTCCCTGCGCGCAATCGACGTTCCGTTCCGCTATCTCCGTCCTGACCAGCGTCGTGTTGCTGGGTCAGCTTGTGCGTGACAACGGGTTTGCGTGATCGTACTTTAGTCGTCTTCGGTGCTACGTCTGTCTGCCGTAATCGCTTCCGTTTACGTTTCACAGACCACCTGTCCTCGTCATCGCCAAGCAAATCCACCACGTTCGTTTCATCCAGCTCCGAATCGCCTTCATCCTCGGCCGGCGAGGGCGAGTAGGCGCTACTTACACTGCCGTCACTTTCACAGTCGCTTTCGTCCTCGTTCTCCAGCGTCAGCGTCACCTGTTCCTGTCGCCTCGTCCGACAGCGTTCCTCCTCCAACGTCTTTGCATGTCTTTGCTTCCGTCGTACATTTCCATTTCGTCCGATAGGCTCCACATGTTCCCGAGCGTTTGCCGGCCAATTCGCTCCTTTTGTATCCTCTTTTACGTCCGATCGTGCTGTCGTACATATTTGCGTCTTCTTTGTCTCATCTTTTTCCGTGCACAGTGCCGCTGGGCTCTTGGACACAACTTGGCGCATCGTCACGTCGGCCGGCTCCGTCTCGATTGCAAACTCCACCTCAACGTCCCGCGTCACTGCCGTCTCAGTCTCTTGCCGTCCGAGCGTCTGCAGCAACTCAAAGAGCGCTCCTCTGCCATCGCCCGTCGCTCCCGCGTCGGCATCAAAAGGCTCGACGTGCGTCACGTCCAGCGCCAGCGTCTCAATCAGCGCCTCCACACTCGCGTCCATCCTGCTCGTCTCGACCGGATCCATCGGCTTAACGACCTCTTGCGGCGGCGGCGACGCCAAGTGCACCGGCATCGCCAGTGGCGCTTGCGGGCCACGGGCGTTGACGAGGTCGCGGTCCAGCAACGCGGTCGCGCCTGCCGCTTCGGCCTGCAGCAGCGCGTTCATGTCCGCCACGTCCACGTCGGCCAGAAAGTCCAGCGCAGCAGCGTCATCTTCGTCGTCGCTGGCCATGTTCTCGCTCTGGAGCGACCGGCGGTGGTCAAAGAAGCCAATGTGCGCCTTCACGCGCTGGAAGAGGCGCGTCTGCTCGTGCTGCGCGTCGAGGCGCGTGGCGGCGATCCACTGCCGCGCGCGCAGCAGCTCACTCTCCCAGACGGTCGCGACGCTGTTGTCGCCCATTGCGCAATTGCCTTTCGCCTCGCGTTTCCTTTTGCGTGCGCCTCTCGTTTCCTTTTGCGTGCGCGCCGCCAGATGCGGAAACAAGAGTGATGGTCGTTGACGGAGGCGGGCGCCGCGAGCACTGATTGGCTGAAACGAAGCCAGGACGGCCCCGCGGCGCGCGAGTGGTGGGGTTTCGGCCAATGACGTCCACGGCCGACCACGCGCGCGACCGGACCATGGGGAAACTGCGCGGCTATGACTTCTACCGCGCTATCGGGTCGCCCACACGCATCGTCGCGCCAATGGTACTGTCGCAAAGTAGTCACTAGTAGTACACGGCCGCGTGGCTGGCAGCATGTGGAAGTTGCTGCCGACGGCGTCAGTTATGCAAGCTGAAAAAATTGCTGGTGGGTCTCGTGGTGACAAAAGGTGTGTACTTTACGTGCAGGTGGACCAGTCCGAGTTGGCGTTTCGCATGCTGTGTCGGACGCTCGGAGCCGACTGCTGCTACACGCCCATGCTCCACAGCCGCCTATTTACCGAGAGTGCCGAGTACCGGGACAAGATGTTCGAGCACCACATCCAGGACCGGCCGCTGATCGTCCAGGTCTGTGCGTCGTCTTTGTTTGCAACGTGGTGACAGATAGAGCATCGGCAGATCCAATCGGCCGTTGTGACAAGAGGAGCACAGGCTGACCAGAGCGGTGCGTGTGTTGACACAACGTGGCCATGGGCTGACAAAAGGTGTCCATTTTGTGATGCAGTTTTGTGGCAACGATCCAGCAACTGTGTTGGCAGCGGCCAAGATGGTGGAACGCCATTGTGACGCCGTGGACCTGAATCTGGGCTGTCCGCAGGGCATTGCTCGCAAGGGCCACTATGGATCGTTTCTGATGCAGGACAAGGACACGGTCAGGTCTATCGTCGAGACGCTGAGTGCGGGACTTGAGGTGCCCGTGACGGTCAAGATCCGAGTCTTTCCCGACGACCAGGAGACGCTCGAATTTGCCCAGATGCTGCAGGACGCTGGATGTGATCTACTGACGGTGCACGGCCGCACAAAAGAGATGAACAAGACCGCAGTGGGAGCCATTGACTGGGACATCATTCGACGCATTAAGGAGCAATTGAGCATTCCCGTGTTTGCGAACGGAGGAGTGGAGACCCCTGACGATATCGCGCGTTGTCTTGCGGCTACAGGCTGTGACGGCGTGATGAGCTCAGAAGGGGTGCTGGAAAACCCGGCGTTATTTGCTGACGCGAACAACACACCCGGCGTAGACACGTCGTTTCTAGAGCTGGCAAGACAGTACCTTGGGTTTGCAACGCTGTATCCGCCTGTGAGTGATAAGATTGTGCGTGCGCACCTGTTTAAGATGCTGTTCCAAGATCTGCGGATGCACCCGGACTTGCGCGACGCGCTAGCAGCTGCCAAGTCGCAAGAGGAAATGGTGCAGATCGTAGATGAGCTCGCGGAGCGCTTGAAGGGATCGGTGGACAAGAATGCAGCGAGTGAGATGACGAACGATGTGGTGTACGCGGCTGAGACGAGTTGGTATCGCCGCCACCGACAAGGCCAAGAAAAGCTTCGACGTCGCGACTCGTACGAAAAGTGCCTTGACACTGGCTTTGGCAATTTGTTTGAGTGAGCAAAAGAAGTGGTGCCTCGACTAAGGCTGACAAAGCGTGACTTGCAAATAGAGTCTATTGATGCTTGCACATGACATGCGAGTCGCAGAGTTGGTCGGTTCATGTCGTCTAAATCGCCTGGTTGTTGTGGTTATGGAGTCGTTCAATGCAGTGCCCTCCGGCCGAAAGTCTTGTTATAATGCTGAGTTGAGTCCCATACCCCAACCAAGCTTGGCGCGTTTTTCACGCGGGGGTAAGCTGCCACTACCATCAACCATCGACTGCGGTAGTGGAGATCCAGCAGAAGCCGTGAAGCTGGCTGGCAGCGGAACGTGCTCGCTGCCGTCTTGCATCCCCGCATTCCCAGTGTCATCAAAGGCAGTGTCGTGATGGGTTTCTTGTCGTATAGCAGACGATGGTCTCGTTGTCCGCTTGCCACGCCTGGTTCTGTGTCGGTCAGAATGGCTAGTTTTATCGCCAAGAGCTAACCCAGCGTGTACCGAGGGCGAGGACCGATTGTGGCGATGATGCTCACTGCTGCTGTGTCGATGCGAAGAGTGATGTCGTGCCGGTACGCTACCCCGACCGCTGCTACCAGCACTTCGGTGTTTCTTCGACTTCGATTTCAGCAAGTGCTGGACGAGTCGTTTTCGCTGCACAGGGAATGTCGACGGGAGTCCACTGAAGTCGAAAGTCTGCTTACTGTCACGGACGCTGTCAAAGTAACGCAGTTCTGTGAGCCTTTTCACTGTGCTGCGACGCGCGGGGTCTAGCTGAAGCATGGCTTCCAGCAACACGATCGCATCCTCCGGGAAGTCTGGATATTTAGAACGCTGTTCCACAAGGGTCTTGCAGAGCCGCATCTTGTACTCATGCTTGGGCCGAAACGTGTTGTACAACGGGAGCTTATGCGCGCCTTCCCACGATGAGCCCGGCGTGCCACAGAGACGGTAGATCAGATCGAGCTGTATTTTGGGGTCCTGTCCTTGAAGAAATGGAACCTTCTCCAGAAGAATAGCAAGCGCTACGCAGCCTGCAGACCAGATATCCGAGCGCCATGTGTACTTCGTTTCGCCTAGCAAAATCTCTGGTGCAGTCACATAGAGCCACGCACCATAGCAGTGCTCTTTGCGCTCACTGTCGGTCATCACGTAAGCAGCCAAAGAAGATCCATCACCTTCTTTTCGCTTGATGTTAGCAACTTTGCGCATTGCATGAAAACCGCCAAGTTTAACGCCGTCCCTGAAGATCAAGAGGTGTGAGGGGGCAACGAAGCGGTGAACATACCCATGGTCGTGGACAGCGGAAAGACCTTGCAGCATGTCATATACGGCCTTCTTGCGCAGCTCTGGCGTAAGTGATACATGAGCCTCAAAAATACCTGAAAACATGTGCAGCGGCTGCTCGAAGGCCAAGTAGTGCCTTTGCAAGTTCAGTCTGTCCATGCCTTCAGGTAGAGGATTACCATCGTCATCGATTGTAGCCGCAAGTAGATCGAGATCATCCGTGCCAGTACTGGGAGTGCCCGCTTCGTTCAGCTGTCGCTCCTTGCAGTTGGACGGGAAAACAACTCCATACAACTTCATAAAACGGTCTGGCGAGAGCGACGAGAGAGTCGTCGCTGCTGACAGCTCACGCACGCAAGCTTCGTTAATGCCTCTCTCTTCCGAGAAAAATGTCTCTTGCTCAAGGTACGGCCATGACTGCAGATACACAGGCCGTCCAGCTAAGTCGAGGCTTACCTCATTCGACACAACGCCCAAGTACGCTCGTTTCCGGATGGACTCGGTCTTAGTAATCTCGTCCGCGTGCAAGCGAATGCTTCCAGCACTCGTATCGTTCGTACCAGTGACAACTTTCTTTGGAAAAATTGATAGTGCGGAGAAAGACCTGTCACGATTCTGCCCTGTAGCCGTCCAGCTGGCAACCGGAACTGAGCTTTCCATCGCCTTAAACGCAATGAAATTCTTCCCTTTGCTGCGCGAGGGTGTCGTAGTCGAGGACGTAGCAGCCGTCGTCGAAAATGCAGCAGAGAACGTCGAATTTGCAGTCGATGCCGAAGGACCAGGTGATGAGCTGGACAGAGAAGACAGGGTGATCCATTGCTTCAGCAAACTAGCTATCCGGCTGACAATCTCCCCATCCCTTTTGTCTCGAGACACAGTAAACTGATCCAGGTCAAACTTGCTTATGTCGTCAGTTTCGTTCGGTTGCTTCAGCTGCGCTGTCATTGACTGCTTCTCTAAGCGTGCCCATCGGTCTTTTAACTGATTGCAAATGGACAGAGAGCATTTCAGCAGCATGGAAGCTTCAGCTGCATTACAATGAGCATCTAGTTGTGGAAGGAATTCCGGGATCTTGGCGTGGTAAGGAGGCGAGCGATGGCTCAGCACTTCAGTTGCAGCAGCGCTCACGTATACCACGCTGAGCACCACGCATTCCACAGGTGTGTGCGTCCAAATTGACAATGGCAAGGCTTCTGCCACCAAGTGTTTTGCTTCTTTTTGCACTTCCGGGGGAGGCACTGACGGAAGGAGTGAAGCCAACTGATTGCCGACACTGTGGTTCGAGAACGCTACACGCTTTTTCGAACCTTTGCGTGCTGTTAGAAGGTCCAACAGCGCGTAAGGATCTTCACCCGTCACGTCGTAACGCAACCCTTCCAGCAGCTCACCCTCCGCTTTGACCAGACGGCGCTTGAGCACCCCTAGTTCAGGTGAGGCAGCCGTGAGAAGTTCGACAGCAGACGAACCGTGCTTTGCTTTGTACACTTCCTTCACAAAGGCTGTCCACGGTACTTTTCGGGCGCGAGCCTTCAAGAACAAGTGAAGCATCGTAGCAGCATAGATATCGACCTCCATCGGCATTGTGTGGAACGTGAAGAACCTATTCAGCGCGATAATGGCACTCGTAGCATCCTCTCGGTCGAGGCGCAATCCTTTAGCAATGTGAAATATACTTTTTACGTACTTCACCCGCAGCGATTCTTCTAGCGACGTCGACAAGACTTGATGGACAGCCAACTTTCGAAGCTCTTCTTCAGAGACGAGCCAATTCAGCTTTCGGCCAAAGCAATACCGCTCAATTTTTCTCCCCGAATGCACATGCTCCGCTTCTTCTGAAGGCGGTGTAATGCTCCTGATCGTCATGCCCTGTTGACGCATCATCTGCACTTTGTTTTTCTGGTGTCGAAAATTATCCAATTCGTTCTGGCCCGCCTGATACACACGCAACATCTTATCGAGTAAATTACGGCGGTCCAAGGTGCGGCGAAACGAAGATGCGAGCTCGTTGCTTTCTAGCTCCACAAGCGCCCAGCCCGTACCGTCCAGAAAGTTAAACACGTCAGCATCCACCAATGCATTTGGATGCTTCCGGCTGATAAATAAGCCGCGAATGGCAAGTGCATCGTACTCTTTTGGTAAAAACTTGATCAGCAGCTTGTTGGACACCACCTTTCCATCGCGGTCGAGTGGTTCACCAAACTGGTTCTTTTTCATCGTACTGAAGCTGCTCTCCGATCTATCCATGGCCACCGGCGACGGCGTGCGAACAGGCAACTGTGACGTCGTTGCTTGCTTAGGCGATGGGTCTCTACTTTCATCTACACTTGACATCTTCGGCGAGCTCAACACACGCTTTTTCGGAATCGCAAACACTGACGTGTTCCCTTCATGTCCCACGGGACAGTAAATCTGCCACCCGTTCTCTTTCAGCTGCACAAATTGTTTCTCAGCTGCTTCTACTTGCTCCTCCGAATCATTTCCATCGGTCTCGTACCCAGTCAGCTCCAGCAAATCCTCCACCTCGTACCGATCTTCGTCCTCATTATACGCTTTGATCAGCTGAATGTCAAACTCCATTTTGTCGTCCGGAGAGAGAAATACGCGCACGCGCCGTCCCACCAACGCAAGTCCACTTTCGTGTGCCTCGGGGTCGCGAAAGTAGCCTCCCGTCTTGGCTTCTGCACTCTGCAGTGTGTCGCTCTGCAAGCCAATCACGCCTTTACACGTCGGCATGCCACAAAAGCACTTGATCTGCCTCGAGCCAAGCGCTTTCCACTGGTAATCGAACGTAAGCTCTTCGCCGACGTCAATGTCCCGCAAAGCAATGACAGCAATCCTCGTCTCGCCTTCCACGGTCCACTTTTCCGTCTTGCAATTCGGCTCACAGCTATGGTTGACAAACCGCGTGAAACTCCCCTTTGTCCTTGCGTCAATGTACACGCCTGGGGCCAGGAGCAAGTAGTAAAAGTTCAGCTCGTGGCGCGGCACGCTCTTGAGCCGCCGCGCAAGTTCTTTCTGGTCAATGATCTCCCCAACGTACTCGCCGACGATTCCTCGCTGGGCAATCGCTTCGCGCGTCCGCACGCCATAGCCTTTCAACTCGGTCTTAAAGGGCTCGAGCACCGGGTACCGCTCGGGGTGCTGCAGTCGCTGATTGCGACAGAACTCACCCGTCGCACAGCACGGCGAGCACTCCATGTACGTGGCAAAGTTCAGACACGAGACGTCATCGCAGCGCCGCGTGTCGCTGTCGCGTCGCTCCACCGGGTCGGGGAACGTGCAAAAGCACAGCGCGCGCTCGTCGTCGTCGTCGTCGTCGTGGCCGTCTTGACGCGCGCGCTGGCGCACTCTCTCCCGCGCGAGGTGCCGGAGCGGGTACTCGTTGCGCGCGATGAGCTCGACGTTGCGCAGCGCGTGCAGGTGGTCGAACCGCGCGCGCGACTCGGAGCTGCTCGCCATCGTCGCCAAAAGAGCTCTTGAGGTCGGGTTGTCGCGAGTGCGGGCGTGGTACACGGTACCACCGCCACTGCCGCCGTCGACAACGACAACTACTGGTCGAGTAGGCGAGTGATCAAGTGGTGGGTGGTATACACTACTGTTTATTGCTACTGGGGGGGAGCGAGGGGGAGGGGAGAGACAGGACAGGCCACACTTGGGTCGTAGTGTCTCACTCACGCACGCACGCACTTTCTGTGTGTGTGTGTGGAGTATACAAGTCAGTGGCAAGTCGGTATACACCCGTTGGACACGACGGGAGTAGCGACAACTGTCGAGACCAAAAGGTCGGCGCGATATGGTTCACGAGGACATTTGCATGCAGAGCAACGCACAACCGCTTGTTGTACGAAGTCATTGCAATTGGCAATCGGTGCGTTGGAGTTGACGCAGTTCAATGAGAGTGCGCGGATGAGTTGTGCGTGCAGTGGTTGGCTCTGATAGTCCAATGTAGTCGTGCAAACGTTCTTGGGTTTGACAAGCGATGGTCAACTCAACGCTTCACTCAGATTCGGTCAACGTCGCTCCCGTCCCTTTATATCCCTCTGCCTAATGATTCAAGGAGAACGCCGACTGCCCCACGTTTGCTACCTGCCGACGGCTACAACAGATAGCGCCTGTGGCGGCAAAGGGTCGCGATTTTGGTGGCCGCAAATAGTACGGACGACGCGACTGCGGCTGAAGAAAAACTCAACTCTGGTGACTCTGTCCATGTGGTGTCGTCCAAGCGCATATCTTACGAGGTTTCTCAAGTTTCTGACACGGGATGCAAGAGAGTCGTGTTGAAGCAAACAGCTGATTCAGTGTCTGCTGAACTCTTCTCGGACTCTAATAACTTGTCAAATGGGTGGTCCCGAATCGATTCGACTCGTTCTGAACGATGGCAAAGGCCGGTCAAAGCGCCTGATCAATCGTGGACGGCCAGACAAATGGCACTTCAAGCACAAGATCGCCAGTCGAGCGAGGATGAACGCTCTTCTCGTCGCTCAATGTCTGCGCAAACACAAGTTGTCCAAAGGCAGATGCGACACGCGGAGTCACGCGCTGTCATCAGTTTTGCACCTTGGCCACAAACTGGAAGCACGGTCATATTCCGCATCCAGGGCTCAATGCTTTGTGTTCCGAAGAACAGAATGGAGTCCAAAGCGTGCTGCGACCAGGGTGCTACGCTCACATAGTCCGGAGTTTCATGCACCCGTTGCTTGTGATTGGCCCTACAAGTTCGTTGCTGGAAGCGTGGACGTGCGTCTGGTCGTACTTCACCTGTGCTTTGGTAATCGTAGTCGTTTTGTAACCCATCGGCGTCGCACCAAAGGCGCGATATGTCCAAGACACGAAAGCTGCTATTTCTCGAGAATTGATATCACTACCGACTTTGCTTGCAAAGATGTCCATGAGACCGCAGCACCGATGACTTTGTCGTGCGATGCACTACTCTTACCACTAACAGACGAAACTGCATTCACCCCGAACTTCTTTAGTATCTCAAAGGCAGATTTGCCTCTTTTTCTTGGGCATTGTTGGCAGCCACTTGCGACTCAGAGTCGACCATTCCTTTCATTACCAAGTCACTGACTAGCTAATGCAATGCAATGGGCCTTCATAACCTGTGGCATAGTTGTACTGTCACTCGCCGTATCCTGTGACCTCAAGCTGATCGCAGACTAGTTTCCCCCCGCTGGATCGGGCACGATTCCGTGGCGAAGGCTGATCCGGTGACGCCCGCAATGTCCCGACTTCCTTCACATCGTCAGTAAGGACACAACGACAATCGCCCCGACGGAAGTAGCGCGTATCACGATATCCGATAACACACGGCCCGCACTCGTAACAAATGCCGCGTCTTCGTTCGAGGGGGTGCGCTTTTCACCAACTTTAGTGCTCGACTTCACGTGTTCGTATGCATTCGCCTTCTTGCCCTTGCAACTCGGCTGGGTCGCAGCACACGCCAAGATTGTCACTGCATGAGCCAAGCGTTCCAAACCAAAACGTTACGACGTAAACTATGAAGCTGCAAGACACAAACACGCCTTACCATCGGGAGTTGACGGCAACGCGGTCGACATGTTCGCAGGGCAGCTCAATATTGCGTCACGCGTCGGTGTGAAGCTGTCGTGCACGAGGGCCGAGCTCTTGGTAGTCGTGTACGCTTCCTTGAGATACTCATACTCCGGGTACGGAGTGAACACGCACAGAGTCTTATTGTTGTCGCAGTCGTCCGGCTGGAAGTAGCCGACGCCATACTTCCCGGCATCCGCAGTCTTGATCAAGGCTGCATATTGGCAAAGGGCATGCACATCTGACCCGTCAGTGCTTTTGTCACGTCGACTGCCCTGAACATTCAGAAACTCACCTTCTCTATCCAACAGGTTGGCAGCTTCCGTGGTGAACTCAAACACGTTGCCACCGACGATCTCGTCCGTCATCTCCTTCTCCGTGTTCATCCACTTGGCCTGCACACACGCAACAACATCGCGGTCAGCTCGACTGCCTCTTCCAGTTGCTCGTTGCAATAGCCTCTCCTCCTCTTTCTTCCTTTGCTCCTTACATCGTAGAACGTGCGCTGGTTCTCGTAGCCGTCAATGGTGTTCACGCCCTTGTTGCAGCCGAACTCGCCAAACATGAGCGGACGAGAGTAGCCGACCTTCGCGTACTCCGCCATGATCTTCTGCAACCCGGAGGACTGCGAGTACTTGACGTGGGTCGTCGGATCGCATTCGACGTACGGGTTGAAGCCCATCCTGCTCAAGCAGCCACCAACACGTCAACACACAGTCGTGTGAGCAACCAGCTCTCAACTGCCAGCGACGCGACCCAACCACCCAGCCAGGCAGCCACGGTGGTTGCCACCCCTATCACTACTGCCAACCACCATACACACACACACACAAGTGCCATCACATGCACGCGCGTCCTACCATTGCGCCCGCGTGTTCTCGTCGTCGTCGACCGCACAATCGTAGTACGCCATCCACTGCTCGCGAGGCGGAATGTCGGCAATGTCGAGGCCAATGGGCACCTGCCGCACCGAGCCCGAGCAACTCGCAGCGTAACTGCGAGTGTCCCGCAAGAAAGCCTTGACACAGGGCGCCGTGGCCGTACCATCGGCGCCATTCTCCGTCTGCAGGTTGTTCTCGTTGCCGACACTGAAGCCCAAAGTGTTGTCATACACTGCAAACGCGTTGTACACCATCTGCGCACGCGTGAACAGGTCTTCCGGATAGCACTTGGGCGGCAGGTAGTCCAGCACGGAGCAGTTTTCACACCTGGCAAGGAACACAGCACAATCCGTCAGTCAGTCTCAGTCAGTCAAGTCTCGAGCGTCCGGACGGGTCGAGCGATACATAGGTGAATAAATCCACTGTCCACAGTCAACGAACACTGGTGACAGAAGTCCTTGCAGCAGAAGGGAGAAAGCGACGTGACAGGCAGACAGGCAGACAGATAGACAGACAGATAGACAGACAGATAGACAGACAGGTAGTGCTTCTACTCACGGTGCAGTGATGCCGACCAGCACGTAAATGCCTGCTTCCGAGCACGCACACATGAACTTGTCGTGCGAGGTGCCCGGGTCGATCGAGTAGAGCCGAATCGTGTTGACGCCGAGGTCCTTGAGCACTTCCAAGTGCGGCTGCCACACGTCCTCGTGCTTATCGGCTGCCCAGTCGTAGTTGCCCACGGTGGCCATGCGGCCGTCGTTCGGACGAGGGTAGTAGGCCATGCCTTTCATCCGGAATTCCACACCCGTCTTGGAATCGAACAACTTGTTGCCTTTCGTGACGATCGGCGCCGGCCACGCATCAGCTGTGGGCACTATCGACACTGCAGTGCAGAGCACCGCGAGAGCACAGAGGCTGCGGACACGGGAACCAAAGGCCATCTTGCAGAGATGTGTTTGGCTTTGTTTGGACAAAGGGGAAATGCGTTTCGACCACTTTAACGTGCTCGTGTTTCGTGGAATCTTCATCGTCGTCGTCGTCGCCGTCGTCGGGGAAGGGACATGCAGGCAAAGACAGCAAACACTCGACCACATCAAACCGACATGATGTCACACATGCGATACGTGACCAAGCGAATGCTACCTCCTCTTCTACATCGGGATGTCTTCGCCAGCGCACTGATCGCATTTTACATATGCAGTGGCCTTGTAGCGTGCTATGTGTTGTCATTCTCCACAGGCCGCTGCAATTACAAACGCAAGGGTTGTCTACTGCGATACCCAGAGCAGACACACTCGTTTGGACGGTAGTGGCTACTGAAGTGTACGCGCACATCAATTGTCCGCCATGTTCGCGTACCTGCTACCTGCCGCTTTGCAAATGCGTTGAAGCGCTTTGTGCGAAGCATCCACTCTGCTGGTAAACTTTCAGCTCGAAGCGCCAGCCACGCTTCAGGGACTTACCCGCACCTGTAACTTCTTTTCGTACTGTACCTGCTGCTTGGCAACTAAACTATTCCGCATAAGATCGGTGAACTATGCGCTCGATAGCACATTCAGTCCAGAAGACGATCACAAGACCGCGGCAGTGTCAAGTGAAACACGCATCGATACAAAGCTACTTGCTCTGACTGCCCTTGTATGGGGTGAGCCTGTTACATGCCTTTGGCTCGAATTACGTCCATGAGAATACAGCGTAGTACTGTTTAATATTACTCTCGCAAATACGTGTTGAAGATGTATCACCTCTGGAGGTAATGTTCAGCACCGCTCCACCATGGGTGGATACAGACCACGACATTAACTAAATAATCCACCAATCGCTTCTGGACGCGAGCAATGGGTGGTGACGATATTAGTAGTTGGTAATTTGTAATTTATATAGCTTATGTACGACAAAATAGGTGTATTAAAAGACATAACCATATTGAATATACAGTTTTGCATTCCCCGACTCGAGCAGTTTCTTGCTTAGGTAGTTCTATTCCTCTGCACAGACCATGTACGTGATATTTGGAAGTAC